CACTCACCCTTTGCATGTTGTCGATTACGCGTCTAGCTATGGAGAAGTATTTCCAATGCGTGCTAACTCCGACTGGTTCCCGTTGCTGACAGAATTTATCTTAAGATTCGAGCGACAATGCGACGTGCGAGTGAAGGTCATCCGGAGTGACAATGAATTTGACACGAACAAGATAAGGCCGTGGTGTGCAAAACGCGGTATCCGACAGCAACCAACAGAACCAGACAAATCGTCTTCCAATGGAAAGGTGGTTAGGCGTCACAGGACTTTTTTTGACGGCATGCGGGCTATGATGTTTGATGCTGCTCAGGCTCCTCGCTTCCTATGGTCGGAAGCACTACGACATCATTTATGGTTACGAAACCGACTCCCGGCACGCGCAAACGGCGGGAACACGTCGCCTATTGAAGCTCTCACTGTACCCAATACCAACCTTAGTAGCGTACTACAGTGGGGACAAAGAGTCACGGCTCATATCAAGAGCAAGATCATGAGAACACGGAAGAAGTGTGAGCACGGCATATTCATCGGGTATGATGACAAGGTCAAGGGATATCGCGTGTTCGTCAAACGCATCAAGAAGAGAATCACTGCATGTCTAGTCGATAAACTCGGCCAAGAAGAGTATCGACAAGGATCTACAAGCTATAAATGATGTACTCATCGACAACTTCTCTGACGCAGAGAGAATACTGAGTCCAAGTGAATATGGATCGAGCGTTTCTGGTCGCGAAGAAATTGAGGATGACTCAAACACTGGTGTGAATCAATCTCTGGCAGTACGACGCGAGCGTCGTCATGTCAACATGCCTGCTCGATATGCTGACGGTGCCGCAATTGTGGTTGTACGGGTCAAAGAGCCAAGGTCCGTCAAAGAAGCCATGACTCTTCCTGAAAGAAAGAACTGGATCGATGCGATGAAGGTAGAGCTCGATGCACTCGTCGAGAATGGCACTTGGGAGGTTGTCGACGAACCAAAGAAGTTACAAAAATCATCGACAGCAAATGGGTTATATAGATCAAGTTTGATGCCGATGGTGACGTTGAGCGCTTTAAGGCAAGTTTTGTTGCTCGAGGGTTTAGCCAGAAGTACGGCGTTGATTTCTCGATGACATTTGCACCGGTCATCAAAATGAGCAGCGTGCGTCTATTTTTCGCACTAACAAGCTTGCTTTGACTGCGACTGACTCATGGCGACGTATCTAATGCCTACGTGAAGAGTTTGCTGCGCAAACTCATCGACATGAAGGCACCCAGGGAGCTGAACGTCGAGGCGGGCAAGGTACTCAAGCTGCTAAATCCATTGTATGGACTTAAACAGTCGGGTCCCTGCTGGAATGAGACGATGAACGAGTACATCATCGCACTTGGTTTTATCAAGTCAAGACTCGACCCGTGCATCTATTACAAGCGCGAAAAAAAGGAGCGGGTGATGATTCTTGGACTTTACGTGGATGATGTGCTGATCTCGTTTCGTGACGAGGAGGAGCTGCGCGATGTTACACTGAAGCTGGAAGGGCGCTTCAGCATCAAGATGTGCGTGCCAGTGAAGAAATTTATTGGTATTGCAGTGCACGAGACCTCGCAAAGTTATTTTTTATCTCAGCAGAGAATGATGTGACGCACTCTGCGCGTTCAATATTGAACATGTCAGAATTGTCACGACTCCAATGGATCCCAACACAGAATATAATGGTACTGATAGTGAAGAACTAGTGGACATACATCGCGTACGTGAGGCCCTCGGTACTCTTCTTTGGATTGCAAATTCTACTCGCCAGGACATAGCGCATGCTACAAACTCTGCGTCAAGACACCGCGAAAAGCCTCGTAAGTGCCATTGGGATCTGACCAAAGGGATTATTCGCTATCTCGAGGGCACACCGGATCGTTGGTTGCGCTCCTGGAAGACAAGTGAGGCTGTTTAGTTGAAAACCTCGAGGTCAACATTTGGTCCGATGCTGATTGGGCTGGTGATCGAGTCGACCGAAAATCAACGAGCGGCGCCTTCCTTGAAGTAAACGGGCGGCCTATAGCGTGGAGTACAAAGAAGCAAGCCGTTGTTGCGATGTCCACTATGGAAGCAGAGTTCATTGCCAGTGCGACGAGTGTGTATGAGTGTCGATGGATCAGACAACTTCTTCAAGAGCTGCTCCGCATCTAAATTGTCCCAAGTATCATGGTTGACAACCAAAGCGCGATACGAACGATGAAAAACGAGATGGTGTCATCTGTTGCAAAGCACATTGCTATAAGATATCACTTCATCAAGTATGAAACTAGCAAAGGACGCGTGAGTGTGAAATGGTGTGCCAGTAAGGACCAGCTTGCAGATTTTCTGACCAAGGCGCTCCCGCGACAAACATTCGAGGAGCTAAGATGCCAACTTCAGGTGGCGAATCGCGAGTTACAAGGTGACTAGATCATCACGGTCAGGAGGAGTGTTGCAGGTTGACCGTTGCTGTCGCCAACACTTATCGTGATACTGATCACGACAGGTAAATGCTAACCACATATATTGCTATAGTAGCCGATGATGATGCCAGGTCCATAGGAAGACGCAAGATTATAAGAGGAAACAATGCATGTCAGTGGTAGTGGTTAACACGTCAATATATTTGTCAGTTCACAACTATCATCACAGTACGCAAGTACTAGTACGACCAGCAGCGAAGAGTCGACTGCTGAGCTGGAGAACTCCGGCGCGCATAAAGCTAAAGAGCGGACGCGTCGCTAACCGGAAAAAATGAAGGCGTGTGACGAGATTCAGGAGACGCAAGAGGACTCTGAGGAGGAGGGCGAGGGAGGGATTGCGATGTGGGAAATATGAGGGGGGGGGCAGGAGGAGGGGGAGCAGGAGAAGAGAAGAATTTATGGAATAGGCATTGCCGGTCGATGTGGACGAGAAGTGAAGAAGAAGGAGGTGGAGATACAGAGACGATGAAGAGCAGACGATGTGCCACCACCGCAACATCGTCTGTTTGCAAGTGATTTGCCGTCCTCAAGCAGCAGGAGATGCTGTACGAGACGGTGGAGACAACGCCTCAAGCACAGCTGGCAAGGACGCACGCAGCTATGCAAAACAGGCTCGAGCGCCCGTTTCCGCGAGGCGTTCCTGGTATGATGTCGTGTCCAGTGTATGTGCCTGGTTCTATTGCTGCGCAGAATCATGGCGGTTGGACCGCTCGAAGTGAGCGGAAACGCGGATCGGAAGGTGCAGTGAAGAGTGACATACCGTTGGTAAGCGTCCAAAAACGCTCGAGAATGAACCGCTTGTATGCTCAGACACTGCTGCGCGGACTGCTGCGCGGACTGCTGCGCGGACTGCTGATGCGTGAGGAGCACCGTTCAGCACGTCCGTTTGCAACTGATGGAGACGAGTGCTGGATTTACGCTTGCGATCAGCGTCGAAGGTGTGAAGCACGCAGGGCGAAGAGTACTGATACCCATGTTCAATTTGTGTTCTCTACCCCGCTCGCTTGGTGTACCGATGGCGTCAGCGTCTGGTTCAATACGACTTCGGGTGAAGCTAGCAGGTCAAGTGGTTTCACGCTTGGCACGACCACTGCTAGCACAGCCTTTTTTGGTGGCGCTGGTTTGAGCTTCGCCGCGGGAGGGTATGGTAGTCCTTCGGGTGTTGCTCCCTCGACGTCGGTACGCAGCCCCACGTCTTCGTTTCAAGCTGCACCGCCATTTCGTTTTGAGGATCAAGTCAACCGCAAACTGCGACTACGCCGCTTGGACCACCGAGAGCAAGCCGTCAGAAACTGGAGCACTCGACGGATCGAAAGCGAACAACACCCAGTGGGCGTTCGCTTTCGACACGTCGAGTGTTCCAGCTTCTAACGGCTTTGCACTCGGTGGTCGAAGCGGTGGATTGGGCACTACAGTTGGAGCTCCAGCCGCAGGTGCATATTGGCGCGCGCCCTCTGATGGCCAATTTAGCATGGGCGTTGCACCGCAGCACGCCAACGGTAGACGCATGTTGAAGGCCACGAGTCGCACATGTAGAACGTCGTAAACGAGAATGAAGAGCCAATTGGTTTGTGTGGTATGTCGTATTGGAATAGACGGCGCAGACAGCAGCGCCTCACTCTGGAGATACAAGCGATACATCATCTACCGAGCTCAAAGACAATACATATAGGCTTGACTCGAACGCGCCTCTGCGGTGTGTAGTCCGCACAATCTGGACGTAACACACATGCCATTGTCGTCTACCCACTGCTTCGTAACGCTGGTGACTGCTTCACAGGAGATCTTCATTACAGTGCGTCGTACAGCCAAAGCACCCAATGACAGTGCGTCACACAGCCACATGGATCCGACGTGTTTTGAAAGGTTTGCAAACTGCCACAGAGCACCGAGTCGCTGGACTGGATCTCGAGGCTCTCATTCTCTACTTCCGTCCGACGCAGGTTGAGTGTGCAAGTACATCAAACACGCGACCACCTGTCCATGAGCTCGGGCGTCGAAATCCCACCAAGGAAGCACCCAAGCTTTTCTGGTGCAAAAGTTCAGCAAAGTGAGCGTCAAGCACATCCAACGAGACACCACAATACAGCAACAGCTTTCAATGTTGCGTGCTGCTGCAGTCAACAAGCAAGCATTGTACCGCCGCCAGACCTCGTAGATCGATACTGAACATGACACACGCAGAGCCATGTGACAGCACACTCCACGCGCATGCACCTCGTAGAAGTGGTCCTGTTGTTCGCTCACTCTTCTGTCAGTCTGTTTTGTTCGTGCAGAACACTGATGAATCACACAGTCCCGCAGGTTCGTTGCTCGTCCCGGCAGAAACTGAAAGAGCAGCCAGCCACCATGCGTTCATGCCAGTGGCGAATGAAAGCCGAAGTCATGCAAGGTCATACCGGAAAGACTGACCACTGGTCCCGGCAGTGCCCTGCGTCTACGTTGCGTTGTAACAGGAGCACATCGTCTCGATGTTGCTGTTGCGCTTTTCGCTGGCTCGAAATTCAGCTGGCGAGTCGTCTTCTTTACTCACTGCTTTTGTCGTGATCTCGATCTTCGTCCCCTCCTTCTTCTTCTTCACCATCATCATCCTCATTGCCATCGCCTCGTATATCGTCTTTGCTGCTTCTGTCTTCATCCCCTTCGACATTTTCATCAATGTTTGCATCGAATGTGACATTGGTAAACCAGGATCGCTGCCGCTCGTTGCTGCTATACTGAGTCACCTCTAGATGGGCAGTGAAACTCTTCCGAATCTGGCGCAACTTGAACGCGCGCACCTCGGTCCCACTGATCGTGATATGCGCTTGGGCCTGAGCACAATCTTCCGAGGTTGGAAACATCAACAAAACCTGCCAGTCCTTCAGCTTGCCTGAAGATGACGTATCTTGATGGTCTTTTCGAGCACCACGGCAGCCTGGCACAGGCACTGCAGAGCGCACTGACACCTGCAGCACCCGATCGTCTCGCGGATCGATTTTGCAGTACGTACGATGGATCGGTGCAAACACCCTCACAACGCCTTCTCCTTCCCCGTCATGCGAACTGCTGTCGTTGCTTGAATCAGGAATCTTTTCCATCAGTACAAATGCCTCGGGATTCATTACCATCAATAGTCTCGTAGGCATCAGCAGAAAACGCTGTTCACGATACATGCACCTGATAGAGACCATACCGTCCAATGGCACAGTGCAAGTGTACCTCCCAGCCGCAGCACTTGCAAGTACACTCGTACGCGGGTGTCGGTTGGCAACAAGCCACTCGAGACCATCGTTTACATAGCTCGTATCCAAAACTTCGCGCAGCTTTCGCAACAAGAGGAATACGCGCACGGCTTTGCAAGATACTTCGATGTCGTTTGCGGGGCACCGCAGTGCCAGCGTGTCCCGGATACCAGCCCACGCAAGAGAAGTAGTGGCCTCAGCTGTCTCAAGCGGAATGAGACACTCGTACGGCGAGGAAGAGTCTATTTGCAACGCCACCGGGAAGCTTGTACGCTGAAAAGTCTCCACCTCTTTTTCCAACACGTACACAAACAGATCGACTTCAGTCATGGCGCCGCAGATGCTCTCCATCACTTGGTGTGCGCTGCCCGAGTGAATACTCTGGATTGCAGCAGCGTGGTGCGAAGCAAGACAATGCAAAGTCGGGGTGCGCGTGTCTGCCATGATGTCCACCAACGCACGCGTGCACAGTTGCACGCTAAGCAAGCGCGAGCTCAGGTTTCGCGCCAGCACCTTCAATATCAAGTCGACTAGCCAATGAGGGTACTCCGCTATACTGCACGGCGGATCGACTCCAGTAGCACTCGGTGCTTCATCACCACCTCCGCTTGGTACTTCCGTATCCAGCTCGTCAATGTGTACGGCATCGTTTACATCATCCTCTACATTCTTGTGTAAGTCAGAGTCATCACATGGAGACGGGATGGATGTAGTGGCCGGTGGCCGAGAGCTACCATCCCCAACCTCGTCCGAGACATCGCTCGGTTGCACAGCAGCATCGTGATCGTCCACAGCTACCAAATCGTCATCGCAACTCATACGTTCGCTGCGGCGGTTGCGAAAAGGCAGTAGGTCCAGCTTTCGTAACAGCGAGTGATCAACGGCGTTGTTGTTAATAACGGCTAGCAGCAGCATCACTGCAGTAGTCGAAAGGCGCTCGTCACTGGAACAAAGCAGTGACAAGAAAGATTGGCGGTAGCAATTGGTGGTGTGCGGGACGAACGCCTTCACCTCGTCGTTCGGCCACTCGCCCATGGAAAAACGCGTCTGAATGTAGCACGACGACGACTCGCACACGCTTGCTGAGTGGGGACGGAAGACATGCGTCGAACGTGCCTCCTCATTCCATCCAGAAGAAGGGTGCAAAGACAGTGGTCGCGGCACGTTTCCTGCTATTACAGTGTCGTCACCATCATCGACTTCACCTTCATCACAACCTCCAACATCGCCTTCAACGACTTCACCGTCGCCACGACCTTCATCACAAACTTCATCGTCACCTTCATCGACTTTACTGTCAGCGACTTCAGCGGATGAACCGTCACCATCGCCATCATGATCACGATCACCTTCGGTGTTTACACAGTCCTCGCCATTATTATTGCCGTCACCATACTCGACATCAACATTCGTGTCCACCTTGTCCACGCAATGAGGGCTGACCTGCTGCTGAGATGATTGGCCTTCAAGAGCCACTCGTGGGTAATTATACTGTTCGCCTGCATCAGACGACAGCATCATGTGCACAATCGCATTGACAAGAGGCGTGTGCTCCAAGATGCCTACCAGTCGACTCAGCAAGTAGAGCGCTAGCTGTGTTGACACTCTCTGCGGTGGAGGTGCACAATCTGGCAAAATACTCGCCGCCAACAAAGACTTGACATGTCGTGCAAAAAGCAAGTCTCCAATTTTATGGCAGAGCTCCGGTACATCCACTGTCAATAGATCCTGCAGGTAAAAGCAGTGATCAATGTACGCGTCCACAGCTTCTTCTAGTTTTTCCGACGTCGCTGTTTTGGCCGCCTGTTCAGCTGCACATGGCCAAGTATTCAACAGTCCCTGTATCGTGAGGGTCAGGTCATTTGCAATCTCCACAATGTCTCGGTAATACTGGAGGTTGTCGTACTGCAGCACAAACCGGCGCACGCGCGCATCCGGCACATTCAGCACATTCAACGTCAACGTCTTGACAGCAACCTTCACCATCGTCTCTTTGCAGCGTCCAAACGCCAGCGCACGTGCATAGAGTGGGAAGCCCGTGTCGTCCTCTCGTCTTTGCTGCGTGTCAAGGAAAAACTGCACCGTCTCGTCGTTCAGTCTCAGCGACAGTGCTTTGAGCAGCGTGACGTACCAATCGCGCACGTCGTCGTCGCCATCGACGAGGAACGGGCACTCGAGAAGCCGATTCACGTGGTTGTTGCTCAAAATGTAGTACAGCGACGTGCGGGTAGCAATGTTCTGCACCAAGATGCTCATGGTCTGCAACAGCTGCACTTGGACGGCAATCGACGGCGAGCTGGCCCCTAGTTCCACAAACAGCGCGAGCATATTGGTCTCGCCAAAGTAGTCAAAGAACGCGCCCGCGTCGTCGCTTGTTCCCATGGGGTCTTCCGTGGACGGCCAAGTCGCCGCAGTAGTAGTAGTAGCAGTAGCAGCGTCTTGCGGGTCGTCGCCTTCGGTCGACACGCGGTGCTGGTCCGAGTAGATGAGAAACTCGGCGAGCACGCGCAAGAGCTCGACAATGTCAGCGTCTTGGAGCGCGTCAAAGCGCGTGAGCTGCGCGTGGAGCGTCCGCATGTTGGCGAGCGTGAACTCGAGACGGCGACTGGACACGAGTGCGCTGAGGAAGCCGCTGCGGTGGCTCATGCGGCTGACACTGCTGCGCCGCTTGCTGCTCTTGGCGGTGGTCGTGGTACTGTAGTTGGACGTGCTGTGGTTGGACGTGCTGTTGCTATTGCTGCTACTGCTGCTGCTGCGGGGAGCGCGAGACGCGGGACTGCTGGCCGCAGTGCCCATGCGTGCGACAGTAAAGCAAGAGAGTGACAGTGCCAGTGGCAGTACCGACTGCACGACAGCAACAGTACGGGCAGCGACGACGACCGGAGGAAGCGCGTGACTGTCTGTCTGTCTATCTGTCGGACGTCTTTTGTCGGGTGGGCGAATACGGGCGAGTGAGCGATAGAGCGACTTTTGATTGGGGTCGAGGCGGTGGGGGCTTAAAATAAGGGACGATATAAACGGTAGCAAGGGCGGACTTGTGTGAAAAGTGGGTGGGTGGGTGCCGCCTCGTCTGTGGTCGGACAAAGCTGACGGGTGAATTAATGGTCGTGCAACGTTCCTACAAAGCAGCTACTGCGTCGATCGAAAACAAGTTGGAAAGTGGTCTTTGTGTCGTCGACGCTTGTGTTGGGTTTGGCGATAAAATACCAACTTTGTGTATCATCGTACAATAGGACTGCTTTTACTCAAGTGATCAAATCAGCGGACCTGAGCAACCAGACAACCCCACTTCTTCCCGGAACAAGCCAAAAATCCAGTCTTGAGGATCAGAAGGTTGGCAAAGAAGTCTAGTCATACGTTCGGGGCTAGTTTGACGTTTACACAAAGGTTAAAGACACGTTCTCAAATCGGTTTTCCTGTGCAAAAAAAAAAGCTTTTGCATTGTAAAGACATGTATATTATGCTGTGTTTAACAGTGTCTTGCATGTTGATGTGCTATCTGAGCAGCTAGAGATATCGCAAATTCGGCGTACCAATGGGCAGCGTCTGCACACATGCAAGCACAAAGAAAAGAATCCAGGTTTACCTCAGACGGCACTAGTTAAATCGACAATGCGGGAGTTCGGCCTTGCCAAAAAAAACTGTCACAGGCATGGCATCAATCCCACGATTATTTATAAGCGGGCTACTCTTGAGACCATGTTGTTATCAAGCTACCGGAAAGCAAGCGCCAGTAGCTACTTCGTCATTCTATACTAGAAGAAGCTTTTGTCGTTTGGGTCCAGCAGTGTCAGCAAGGCGGAGCGATTGTCGCTGGGGACCTCGTCTGCGCGAAGGCTCAGCGGCATGCTCATTCGCTTCGTATTCTAGGCGACGCTATTGCTTTTTCGCACGGATGGCTGTACAAACCAGTGTTGCGTGAATACCAAGAAGAGGAGGTTGTGCTGCAGAAGATCAAAGACCCGTGCCTCACCGGCAACATCGTCTTGGATTACCAACTACTACCCTTGTGGGCTTCATCGTAATGGATCACATAAAGCGAATGGTAACTCCCGATACCCTTCGCACACATACTTTCTGGTACCAATGCAACCTCGGGCATCCTGCAAGCGATCGACAACATGAAAGGATTCGACCGTTTATTTACTGGCCCAGTACGATCTTAACCATCGAGCGGTTCATAGGCACTTGTATGACTTGCGAACGAGCGATACTATTGGACGCAACCAGCAACACGGAATATTACTCCCTCTTAGGCTACACTTAGCCAACCCATTTGATGTATTGCATGTGGACCTGCCTCACCGGACCGTACGTACACGAAAAATATGCCATCCTGATTATCGATCAAGCCGGCTTGAGACCGGACAACGGGACAAGATGGAAGCCATGACTACGGTGCAAAACTTCGGTCGCGCATTATTCGCAGATACCCTTGTCCACTGCAAATCGTGCATTATCTCGGTACCGAGTTCACCGGCAAAGATTTTCGAGGTTTCGTATACAGCTACGGCATCAAACAAAGCCAACCACCTCACAAGTCCCCAGGCAGTCGCTGTTTGCGAGTGCGCACATCTGGAAAGATCATCTGAAGCCACGCGCACGCAGACTAAACAAAAGCCACCTGCTATGCAGCATTTCCATACGAACACGCTACCAGAGCAATTTGAATGCATCGCCTGGCCACCTTTTTCGAACAAGACATGGTAACTCGGCAACTCCGCACCGCCAACTGTAGTTACCTCTCTAAGCGCAGATTCAACGCGATTCTTGCTGGCAACACGAAAACGTACATCGACTTTTGCTCTTCTACAACCCAGGAGGCCAAGTCATGGTCCAATTTCAGAAACAATTACGCGGTAAGACGAGTGACATCACTGACGATCCGTTCCTTATAAAAGTCATCTGCAATAATGGAACAGTAACCAAAGACAAGGGAATCACGCAACAACAACTTAGCATTCGCCGAGTGTTGCCGTGCTTATGGACACTTATCAAGCAACGACTCTCCAGCATATTACATCACCGCTATTGAATGTCCAGTGCTGCCGTCATCACAAGCTTCAGCAACCACCATACTGGCGACACAAGAGGTCAATGCTGGCGACGCAATAGCTACATGCTGGCGACACAAGGGACCAATGCTGGCGACACAAGATGTACAGATGCAGAATTGTTATAGTACAGTCGTAGATGCTCTTCCTAATACGTTTAAGTCATTGTCAATTCTACCTTTTTCTGCCGAGCTTTCTCTCCAGCACGAACCCTGCAGTAAATCGCACGCCCCAAATTGCGGGCGAGCCACTCTGATCAGACTAAAGAAGAACAAGGGAAAACACTGAACGCTAGTCTTCACCTTCGATGGAGAATCTGACTCACCGAGACTAAGACGCGATAATGACTTCACCTACGTGTCCTACAAGCTAGTAGCCACACCGGCAATATGGAACACATCTGATGAAATGGTCACGTTCAAGATCAAAAAATTCGTGGCGGCCGTGCGCGAGACTGGCTACGATGGTGTAGAAACTTTAGCGGCCTAGCTTGCAATACTAACGGTACGAACGAGCAAAAAGCCCACAAAATTCGTGGCGCTCGTTGATGCGACCTCGAAGCTGAGGTGAAACTAGCAGCCCATAACGCAGTCACAGAGGGACAAAGCTTTGAGCAAACTGTTCACGGTTGCTCATATTCCATCAGTTTCACCTGAATCGAGCAAAGACATCGACTATGACTGTCGGCACTTGACCAAAAGAGGGACGAGACGGTCCTTACGATATCGCAACGCCTTACTGACATGGTACACATGTTTGCCGCGCTCCTCGAAGACGCAGTAGTGATACCCGAGGTAAAGCAATGCCGCTTTTTCAAGCGGGCCATCCTCGCGACTGGCAAGATAAACTGACGGCAGTCGGTATTCAGTACGATCGTCTCAACGATTTGGTCCTGTACTTTTCACACATTGAGACGAATGAAAGATCACGCACCGATAAAAAGGCGCACGATATGGTCCACCACCTCTTCGCGGCGATTCGGGGAAGGAACTATACAGGTCCCGACTAAGGGAAGAGAAGCGCAAATACGGTGGCTCCAAACAAACAAAGCAGGAACGCTCGTGCAATCTCTACAAGACAGGACGCACAAAACATCGGACTGCAACACCTTCGATAAGAAAAACAAGGGTGATCATAAAAGTGTCGATTTACAACTACCACGTAGCGTAAAAAGAAACGACGACACCCACGTACCCACCAAGTCACGGAGGTCGACAGCAACGCGAATTTTTCAAGCGACGACGACGACGATGATGAGCTGAAGTTTGTCGATCTTGTCGAAAAGAAAGCTCGATCAACGAGCGCTCCGGTGCGTATAGCCATCTAGTTGCGCCGAGAGGGCGCAGTTTGAAGAACCTGCCCGATAGAGGCGCGGAGAAAAGTATTGTCGACAGCGAGACGCTCGCCGCCAACATTCGAACATAGAAAAAGTTTGCCCATGTCTCCTACAACCTCAGACATGATGAGTGGAACAATTACATCAAGTGATTCTACCATTGCCCAGCTCACTTTTTCTCAGCTTACACCTGACACGGATCACTCGAAATTCGAAGTGACGAATTACTGTACGGACGCGATACTCCAGGGACTAGACCTGATGAGCGCATTATGGTTAGTTTGGACTGTAATGAGAATATGTATAGTGGAACTACTGTAGATTGCAGCTAAATAACGGGAATAAAATCATGCTCGCACAAGTCGATGGCCGACACGACTACGAGTTTCCAGCAGAAGAAGCGAGCGACGCTATATAAAAGGCAGTCTCTCGTGAAGAGCTGGTACCGAGATAAATGCTAGATGGTATCTGCTGCAGCAATACCGATCATTGCCTTTAGAGTTCAGTGATCGATATGACGGGCACTTATGAAGGATAACATATTCTGACGAAGTAATACCGATCAAACCATACTACCAGCCAATACATGCAATTACTACCTAGTACCCCGCAGTATTGAGGAATAGGCCAAGACCTTGATCCAACGACTCATCCACGATAACGTCTATAAGAGAGTGACGAGTCATACATGGAGTACACGGCTATTTTGCAATTCAAGCTGAACGGATCTCTAAGCTGCTAATAGATTTTCGTTGCTGAACAAGCATTTGGAAAAAAGCCCGTCCTATGTTCCTCGAATGGGCGAATTTGTATGCGACTACTTAATGCTAAGGGCATCTCGACTTTCGATATATGTATGGGATACTACTTCAAAAGATAGTATCCGTGCATCAGACCGTTAACTTGCTTTATATCCCCATTTGACAAAGTTACAAGCTCCGCGCTATGCTCATCCACAGTGAAAGCGGCTGGGTGGACGTATATGCCACGGATAAATATATGCCTGATGTAAAATGAGGCCATTGCCGAGTACCCTCTGCGTGATGTTTATTGCATGGATGGTACCACAAGATTATATGTGTGCACAGTCTTTCTTGATCCCAAGTATGTCCAATTGAACTTGCAGGACTATTCTACAGCATGTCAATCGACAGGACTATTGCACAGCAAGAGATTGAAGGGAACAGGAAACAAGTAATCAAATTTGCAGACGGGTATTTTGATTTCACTGACACAAGGTATGTGCTATCATCCTCTGTAGACGCGAGTTTTCATTGCGCCCGCTGCAAACGCTGATGGATTGACAAGCTGCAGCCTTATTCGATCGTAAAGCCAAGAAATATAGGGTGATACCACGAGAAGCCAGGCCAAGCACTTAATTTCTCTTTTGCAAAAACACCAAAGCT